ACTGTTTCCAGCTATTCACGTTAAGAAGGGTGTTATAAATTGTTTCACATATCTATAATCTATCTTTATGCATTTCAAGGAGTTTACAGCTATCTTCGATTCAACTGATAGGGCAGCGGCCTGAAGGTTGATGGAATGACCGGTGTTCATTCGACTAATGAGGGAATTTTATCATACATAGCATACATTGGCACAGATCTGACCATATGGGAATTGAATAGACTCTTTCTTCGAAATAAAAACTGTGCTCGTCAAGGCTGCATCCTTTCCCCTATAATATTCAACTGTAAACTGGATAAACTGGATACAAATTGGATAATCGCTTTTTGGCACTCAAGAGACATATGAATCAATCCAGAATATCTTATCAGAGATCTTGAATATACGCTGTTGATGTAGTTCTCTTTGCTGACAATTATGACGAAATGCAAATAGTGCTAAATACCTTATCAACAGCTGCAGCGAGAACCGGACTTGAGGATAATGCAAATAAAACGAAAATCTTTTCGTCCTATACAAGAAGTTGATAAAATACTATTTTTATAAATTCATTTCCTGTTGAGGAAATGCCCAATTTTTAATGCTTTGTAACCACTCTAATCAGAAATGGCAAGGCAAATGAAGAAATCACAAGAAAGAATAATGGAATGGCAGCCAAAAATTTCAGCTGGCGCAATCTTTGTGGAGCTATTGCAAAATCACCATAAAAATAAAAATCCAATTAGCAGTTTGATTTCTTGCTATAGCTACGAGGCATTGCCGATGAGAGTGGAGGTTGATTCATATTAAAAATTTATTTATCATCGATCATTCAAATCTAAGATATATTTAACAATATATTTAACACCGTGCGTATAAAATCTAATTGGATCTACCTTTGCTCAAATATCACTTGCATTAATAGTCTTATCACAGAACGTCGCCTGTACTAATTATGGTATGTTCTTGATCGTCCACCACAACAGTTGACATATACTTCATTACTTTGTAAATCCCTGATGGATGACGTCACAAGCCCAGTCAAGGCCTGGCCTAATATAGCCAAGAAATATTTTGAACATTTAAATACTAAATATTTAAATATTAACAAATATTTAAATATTTCGTACGATATATGAACTTAGACGGTGGAAAAAAAGTTGGTTTCTATTTATATACTGTTAGCGATGGCATCAGATCAAGCAACTTGGGAATGTCTTACCCTTGTGGCCAGCGGAACCACCCTAACTAGTAATGTAGAAGCTTTTAGAAGAAGAAGAATTAAGAATTAATTATTTTATTTATTAATCTGATTTATCTATTTTTACGAAAGCTATAAATAAATATTTCTAAAACTGTATAATCTGATGTAATTTTTTGAAAAATTTGAGAATTTAAGCTAATTCCTAAAGGGATTTTAACAGGTATGGAAAAGAATAACTAAAAAGATTCTTTCAAAAACGCTTATAAGTATGCGAAATATTTTTATATCTTTTAAACGATATCGCTGCATATTGTATTCGAAGAATATATGAAATGCTATGAAATTTTTTTAAGAAAATCAATTTAAATATTGTTGTTGTTTAAATATAAAAATTTAATTAATTATAAATATAATTATAATAAAATATAACTTGCGGTTTGACGATAAAAACGGGATAATCCGAGGGTTAATAGTTGGTGATTGTGGATCTGGCAACTAATAAAAAAATCATTATAGTGATAATTAATGATGAGATCACTGATATCTATGAATGTCTTCGATCAATGCATCGGGCAACAGTTTGCATTGAAATACACTGCAAATATGGTCGACCTGCTTTTGCAAGAAGGCGTATATGGCACAATGTCGCATTTAAACCACTCACAACGATGCTGCAATATGGCATAAGTAGTTCCACCCAAGAAATTTATTGTTTACTCTAATTATTTTAATGCATTTTTTCGAAATATTCAAATATTTTTAATAATGTCTTACAAAAAATTTTTTCAAATCAAGCCTTAGGACATTTAAAATCACATTGGTCTCATAGATTTAATTTTTTAGAAGGGAAGTTTCTGTCTTCCAACATCGTTTCTGGTTCACTTGGGTAAGACTAGGAAACCTCTTCGCCAGTAAATTTCTTAGGATTATGAGAAAAAAATGACTCTACAGCTTCATTGTATTTTTCTCGAAAGTTTGGCATTATATATTATATAAATTTATAATCAAATCATAACATCGATAGTATTTTCCTTGAGATTCGTACTAGAATAATAATTTAATAGTCCTCAGAAAGAGATTTATAAGAGAGTAAATAATTATCCACAAATATTTTGATGTAATCATGCATTCATCCAAAGAATTCATGCTTACTTCCCATCGCCAAATCCAATACACGCCAATAGATCCGAGCCAGCGGAAACCATTTCACTCCACAAACAATCTTTAAGTTAAACAATTTTTCTAATGATTTAATTCCACAATAATTAATCGCTGATTTTTAAAAAATCATAAATTAAAAAAAGATGCAATAAAAATAAAATAATAAAAAGGCTATTCATTTTGAATGGAATAATGGAATGGTTTTTTTTTCGATTTCAATATTTCTGTTCCACTGGAATGGCCGAAACAGACAAATTTTTTCCAAGCAGTCACTTGATAATAGAAATATAGATAAGTCGATAAGTCGCCAACACCACTTATCTTTTTGATGGGCAAATTTACTTCTTCTGCCTGAGAATAGAACTGCAACATCAATCTCCAGAAATTACAGTAACCCATTGTCCTATTTAATCTCCATTGAAATAACTTTTGAATGAATCTAAATAAATATAAATGTCGCGAAATGTGATATTTTTCTAAATTTATTATTTCAAATTGGTGATCTCGACCCGCCAAAAGAAATCTTTCATTAACTTAACCGACTTTTTGCTTACTCCATTTCATATGTCAACAAAAGATTAAGGTCAATTAAGGTCTACATTGTTTAATCCTTTCAAGAAAATTATTCTTTTCCTAATGAGGAGCGATATGAAGGGACCCAAGCGGTTGGGTCCCAATATTTGGATATTCAAATATTCATTCACTTTTTGTTTTTTTAATCCTCTGTGCTTTTGTTCATTTTTTTTGTTTTTCCTTTTAGTCTTTAACTTCAATCGATTATTGTTTTGTATATTAATGAGGTTTAATTACCCATGTTAACCGAACACTATCAAATAATAATTTCGCGGCGGATTCGATTTAATGGAATGCAATGTGCAAAGTGTGTAAAGCACCAAAGCACTAAGGTGTTATTGATCTCAACGATTTCAGTTGCATGAAAAGTCTTTGGGAGACGTTAAAAAATGTTTAACAATATCGCAAAAACTGCTCATTGGCCGCTAGATATCGCATAAAGTTGTCAAGGGGTGCACACGGAAGTCCTGAATCTACACTCTGAGGTTCAGGTATCTCTTCTTGGTAGAGCATCAAAATTTCAGAATTGTCGAGCAATCTCAGTCCATCTTCGTCCTTAATCATTCCGGCCGGATAGCAGTAGGCTACCATCAAAACAACCCTAAGTTGCAATTATTTCTTATGTATCATATGTCCTTCATCGGGCCAGTCTTATTTAATATTACGATGAATTTATTGCACAAGGAGGGGATGATACTAATCAATTTATGACATATGATAAGCATGGGGATAGAATGGTGTTTTGTTGCTCAGTTGGGAGCGCCGTTGCTGAGGTTCGATTCCCCGCAGGAGCAAAACTGTATAAAAATACGGGTGATGCTGGCGACTTACCTGTATCTCTATCGCCAAGGGACTCCCTGGCAATGGTCCAATGCGACAAATCAGAGTGAGTTTAACCAGCAATGGTGAGGACCCTTTTTAAAAAAATGTGACGAGCATAATTCCACTTTCTTCAATTTTTAATCCATTTTTTATAATAAAAGACAAATAACGAACTTCCATCATCAATATTCCATATTCGAACGGTTTGATCAGCAGATACACTGACTATAATATTCTTCGAAACAACATGCTGCGATAAAAATTTAGCACATGTTACTGATTCCTCATGACCCTTATATTCCTGAATGATCTTTTGCTGCCTTATGTCCCACATCTAAGATTTCTCATATATTAATGGAATTTCTCAAATAATAAAATATTCAAAACTTTTTTCGGTGATTTACTGTTTCTTACAAAAGTAGATAATTGACGTTCTAGATATTGAAATTAGCCTCATTTCATGGCTTATTCTGGACCACATGTAAGGATAAGCTCATGATCTCAGAGAAACAACTTAATTTTAAAGATAGGGTGGAAAAACTCCGAAAAAAGACAAATAGCTCCATTCCTATACGTTTCATTACATTTTATTAAGTATGCTGGTGAGAAGAGAAAGAATATAAAACATTTTACAGTAATCTCGCAGCCTTCACCATTGAAACCATTGCAAGATGTTAAACAGTAGTAACCATCGCTAGAAAAATCGCAATGAGTTAAAATGTGGTTTTTTTTTGGAAATTCGTGAACGAGATGAAGATTTTTTGAATCCCATATCCTGAAAAAACTCCAAAAAGGAAAAAATTTATAGCAAATTCACATTTAGATATAAAATTCTATGGCCAATAAGATACTAATTCTTTAAAATCATGTAAATACGCGCTTTGCAACCTATTACGCCATTTTCCTGCTAGAAGAATTTTCACCATTATTGGTTAAACTCGCTCCACTGGCTTGTCACATTGAGTAATATGCCAGGGAATCCCTTGGCGATAGAAATACAGGTAAGTCACCAACATCACCCGGATCTTTATACAGATTTACCAGATCTACTCCTGCCGGGAATCGAACGTCAGCATCGGCACTCCCAATTGAGCAACAACCCACTGAGCCATTCTACCCCCACCACATGATAGTAATCGCTAATAATAAAAACTCACCTTTTTTCTACCATGAAAGTCCATATATCTCTCTCTATACATTCAAAATATTTTCTAAGTGCATCAATGCATCTTGGCTTTTGATGAGATTCATCATGGGATTTATCAAATAAAATATCAACTGTTATTTCAATTGTTATGGTGGATGACGAAGAACTTGCCCTAATTAACACAGCGACTAGGATAGGACTATTAATACAAGTGCTATTTAAACGAAGGTGGATGCAATCATATGAGATTTTATCCACACGATGAACCCGTAAAATGTAATCTTAGATTTGAATAATCAAAAGTAAATTTTTAATAATCTCCACTCTCATGGGCCATGCCTCGCAGCTATATATAAATAGCAAGAAAGCAAATTCTTCTTCTAACAGCGCTCACAATTATTTGTTAGGCTGGCTGCAACTTCTACAAGGGTAAGACGCTTCCAAGCGATGCGATCTGATGCCATCTTCGACAGTAATGGAAGAGCTATTTCTTTTTCCATCGTCTAAGTCTATACATCGCTAGTTCTCCAATATCTTCAAAATCTTTTCTCACTGTATTAGTCCAGGTCTTGATTGGCCCACCTCGTTTTTGACGCCATCCTTCACACGGTTTAGCAAGTAACGAAATATGCGACAATTCTTGTGGTGGACGACAGAGAACATGCCCTAACCACCGAAGGCGACGCTCTATGATAACATTATTAATAAAGATGCTTGTGCGAAGATGGATGCGATCATATGATATTTTATCCGCTCGATGAACCCGTAAAATATACCTTAGACAAGGCTGGTCAAAAGTAAATAGCTTCTTAATATCCTCCACTCTCATTGGCCATCTCTCAGAACCATATAGCAAGATCGAATGAATCGCGGCTATACAGATGCGGACTTTCGTTTTAATGGTAATTTCACGAGGGCTCCATAAAGGTTTCATCAACTGGAAGAATGTATTTTTAACTACCGTGATCCGGGCTATAATATTACCTTTTGCCTGGCCATTTGGTATTAGAGTGGACTCAAGGTATTTGGAAATCAGACACTTCCTCGACCGACAATTTATAAAAAGAGGCATTTTATCAGTTTCTTGTACATAAGACGAAAAGACTTTCGTTTTGTATAACCCTGACCCTGAGTCCGATTGTTGCTGCATTTTCTGACAAGTTATTTAGCATTACTTTAGCATTACTTGCATTTCGTCATAACTGTCAGCACTACATCATCAGCGTCTTCAAGATCTGTGATACGATACTCTGGACTGATTTGGACACCTCTTGAGTGTCGGTGTCCATTACCCAGTCTATCGTATAATTGAATATTGTAAGGGAAAAGACGCAACCTGCGCTGACGTATCTTTATAAAATGCCTTTATGAGTCGAATGATCTCTGGAACACCGTCGCATTCCATTATCCTCCAAAGCGCCTTTCCATCAATGGAATCAAAGACAGCCGATGGAGCAAAGTCGATGAAACACGTGATAGTGGGTCGCAAATATCTGAAGCGATGTTCCAACACCCTTCTTAACGTGAATATCTGGTCAGTAAAACCACACCTTGCCCTGAATTATTCTTAATTAGGACACATCCTGCTGTCCCGTACTTCCATAAGTTTGTTGAGTAAAAGAGAAATAAAAATTTTCGCTGAGATTCCTAGTTGGGATTCCTCGATAATTTTCGCAGTATATCCTATCATCTTTCTGAGAATTGGGAGCAGGATTGCTTTACTCCAATCATCTGGTAATATTTCTTTTTCCCATAGCAGAGAAAACATTTGTTGAAGGTATGTTATAAAGGACGATGGACAATATTTAAAAAGTTCAGTACGAAGACCATCCGGGAACATTATTGGCCTTAATAGATAACAGATATTATTTCTTCTTCTCTCGAGGACTCGCAATTGCAAGCATATTGTTCAGCGAACGTATCAGTTAAATCAGGAGCAACAGTTGGCGCTTCATGGTTAAATTTGGCCTCAAAGAATTCTTTCCATCTTATAAGGCGGTCCTTTATACTCTTGACTGGCATGCCACTGCTATTCCTTACCATTTCATGAAGATTGGTCAGATCCATGAAGATTGCCGCAGTAGAAACGATATCTAGTCATCATAACTCTTCCAACGGTGATCGAATTAGATATAATTCGAATAAGATATATCTGGTTGAAGTGTTGGTTATCCGGGGAATTCCACGTGACTAGATGTTTTCTAGAATGCCGGAAACAAGTATTAGTAATAAAAATTTCATGCTCTTCGCCATAACGAAGGCGTTCCCCATTGGCGCACCGGTCTCTAATGCCATATTTACCAATTGTAGCGGTCATCGCAGCGGCATTATGACCTACGCATGCATTCCAGTTTGCCCCGATTATGACCATGTTATATTTTGGTAGAGAGACAATATTTAAAAAGTTCAGTATGCTACATTGTTAGCAGTTGAAGTTCCGCATAGAACTTATCTTTATTACCGTCATCTGCCGACAGAATTGGAGCATAAATATAGATAACCGAAATATTGCAGAACTTACCCTTAAAACGGGCATAGGCCATACGGTCTCGCTTACCGTTTTCTAATCAAAGTGGAATAAGCTTTGTTCGCTACGATCGCTACGCCGTTTCGCCCCAAGTTATCCGAAGCACCACAGTGATATAGCTAGTAGCTCTACTCCGGAGCCAGATTTAATAGTAACTCGAGACCCAAAATAAGGAAAACGGATCTCCGACAAGCAAGCGATATCCTCACTATATTTAGAAAGGATGTGGATAGTGATCGCTTGGCTTACAACATCCATAAGCGTTCTGACATTCCACGCTGATACGGCTAAAACCTCGCCACGTGTTCCCCTTGATAGGTTTCGAGCAATTATCCTAGCTTGCGAACACATTTATCAGCCTTGGGATCGCTTTAAGCCAGGATTGTGCACTTATCGCATGTACCACCGGACTGGGAGTATCATACGCGTCAGGAGAGTGGACGCCATATCAAAAATATCTGACTCCTTCACCACAGAGTCACTTGGAAATAGAGATACAGGCAGGTGGGTTTCCAGCAGCCACCCGGTTTTTTGACATAATGGCAGGTTTACTCTTGCAAAAGACAAAAAAATTAAATTTAATGAAAATAATAAAATAGACAATGAAATTTTAAAAATAATAAAATAATAAAAGGACAATTAAATCTTAAAATATATATATATATATGTATATACATAAAATATATATATTATTTATACAATTTAATTGATTTGATTTATAATTTGTTTAATTTAATTGATTTAATTTTAATTTATTTTATTTTAATCGTTTGGCAAAAAAATCAAAAGTTTAAGAAGACTTAGCTGAGTTGTGATTAGAATTATAGTCACAAAAATAAATCAAGAATATTTTTTGAAACGACCGCTCAGCAAAAAAATTTTGTTTTAGCAAAGCAAATTACTAATTGGACTTTCATTTTTATGGTGGTTTCGTTACAGCTCCATAAAGATTGCGTCAGCTGGAAGAAATTTATGGTCACCATTATTCTTTTTTGAGATTTCTTCTTTTGCCTTGGTGATTAGAGTGGTTGCAAAGCATTAAAAATCAACCGGGCATTTCCTCAACTGGAAATGAATTTATAAAAATAGGTATTTTATCAACTTCTTGTATAGGACGAAAAGATTTTCGTTTTATTTGCATTATCCTCAAGTCCGGCTCTCGCTGCAGCTGTTGATAAGGTATTTAGCACTATTTGCATTTCGTCATAATTGTCAGCAAAGAGAACTACATCAACAGCGTATATTCAAGATCTCTGATAAGATATTCTGGATTGATTCATATGTCTCTTGAGTGCCAAAAAGCGATTATCCAATTTGTATCCAGTTTATCCAGTTTACAGTTGAATATTATAGGGGAAAGGATGCAGCCTTGACGAGCACAGTTTTTATTTCGAAGAAAGAGTCTATTCAATTCCCATATGGTCAGATCTGTGCCAATGTATGCTATGTATGATAAAATTCCCTCATTAGTCGAATGAACACCGGTCATTCCATCAACCTTCAGGCCGCTGCCCTATCAGTTGAATCGAAGATAGCTGTAAACTCCTTGAAATGCATAAAGATAGATTATAGATATGTGAAACAATTTATAACACCCTTCTTAACGTGAATAGCTGGAAAGCACAACAGTGTTCTGGTCTAAATCTAGCTTGATTAGGGCGCATCCTGTTATCTCGTATTGCCATAAGTCTAATCAATAAAAGAGACCAAAAATTTTCTTGGACATATCTAATGAGCTGGCAATTGTAATTCTTCCTCAATAATTGTCACAATATGTCCAGTCATCTTTCTTGAGAAATGGGAGTAGAACTGTTTCGCTCCAACCAGCTGGTATTATTTTTTTCTTCCATACCAGACAGTACATTTGTTGAAGGTGTACAACACGCCGTGCTGCTGTCATTTAATTCTTCGAAACATTCTCTTGACATTTTGTTTTGGCAACTTTTTCAGACAGTTGCACAGTTCTCAACTAGCCCATTTCCTACTAGTTCTAGTCTGGAATTTTCGGAAATATCCTTTAGTTATTCATTAGCCGTTTTAGAGATATCATTAATATTTCATTATATCATTGAATATCATTGAAGTTTTTTTCAATAAGTCGATTTGAAATGCGTCCGCTGCCCCGTATCATTTAATACAAGAAAATTGAAAGATCTTGTTTCTTGCGACTTTTTTATGTGGATCTTGTCTCCAACCATAATATGGTCAGATCTATGTATGTTGCCCGTTTCAGCGCCGTAATAGGAATGACTATCTAGCACGAAATTCTTCCAGCGACTAAGATATAACGATATAAAAGCTGGAATGTTGCTTGTTTGGGAAATTCCACTTGGCTAGATATATTCTACAGTGCTTGAAGCATGTATTACTAAAAAAAGTCCATGCTATTCAACAAAACGAAAGAGGTGTTCACCACTGGCGGGCGCATCGAGCCCGGTTACATATTTGGCAACTACCGAGTTGTGGAGGTGTTGTGACTTACGCGCTCATTCTAGCTTCCTCTGATTATGACCATGTCACGCTTCATAGAGATGTTAGCAATTGAAGTTCCGCACAGAACTTATTCTTTGTCATCTGCAGACAATGTCAAGCATATGCTGCAGATTACCTTTAAAACGGGCATAGGCCAGACAGTTAGAAATAATATATCGAGCCAAAATTTTACCAAAAACTTGCATACTTATGATATGATATATTTTTCAAGCTATACATGTGGTTAAATAAGTGGTTAATGCGTAAACCATTTATGATTAAGCTAAATCTAATGAGGTTAATGGTCTTTAAGAGTCACTTGGTGATGGAAGTTTAGGTGAGGATGAGTTGTGAATCCCGCCTACATTTCTTAATGGTAGGTTTGTCAGAAGCACCTTTTCAGTACAGTACGACAACATGAATCATTGCGCACTCGATAGCCCTCATCAAGAAACCTTTGATTAAGTTAATGGTAATTAATGGTAGTTTTTTTCAAACGAATCTTGAATTTCATACTTATTTTAGATTATTTTAGAGAAAAGCAGACTTTAGTTGTTTGTCTTCAGCTGATTGAGCAAGCAAGCTGTTGGCTGGGTTGTTAGCAATATGAGTTACCTGAAAGAGCGAAGAAAATTAACAAAATGGAATTAGAGAATGCGGAAAACCGATTGACGATCAAAAATTTCTTTAAGTTATGCAGAAACTTAGGACAAAAATGATACGATAAATATTTGAAAAGTTTTTCATACGATATTTCTTGATTGCTGTACACTTTGAATTATATCGCCTGAGGTAATATCCCATAATTTGAGACTTGCATCTCTTGCACCTGATACGAAGCGTGATTCTGAATGATTAAATGAATGATTATTTTAGACATAAATTTACCTCATAAATTTACTCGCATATGCCATATAAATTACTCAGAATTGAATTACTATACGATCTACTATTAATCTACTATTAAAATAAATTCCCCATTACTACCCCATTTTCATTTAGATCCACCTCTACCCTCTTCCATTTGATTGGCACTTACCAGCTATTGAGCTGATTCTAAGGGCTTTTTCAGAAAAAAAATAATAACAAAATAAAAATAAAAATAATAAAAATAATAAAAAACAAAATAATAATAATGATTTCCTCAGACCATTCTTATTGTTTAACTTATTGTTAAACTGTCGAGTAACAATCAACTGAACAAGTGATGCTAAAAACTACCATTAAGCACAGTGATTCCTGTGACACTCATTTGGTGTCCCGAATAATTTTTCGAACTTTTCGGTGAGTTGAATTGCCATAATTTGATTAGCGAATCTCTTGAACCACTTATTATGTGATGTTTCCCACCGGCATTCACATATGCAATCTTAACATGACAATTATTCTCTGAACAAATTTATAATATTTTGATTGAATTTTCGGTAAATTGCGAGAGAGAACAAAAGCAAGAATGATAAGATTTTGCTGTGAAAACTCCTGAAAAAGATGGAAATAAATTTCACCGACAATTTTTACGAAAAAAATTCATTAAATTTGGAATCGAATACAGTCTTTATACAGCGGTTTAAACAAATGTTATGTTGTTTGTTGTACAGAAGGTTATTTTAATTCAAATTTTTCATGGTATCACCATTTCTGCTAAGGATTTACTAGAAGATTGAAACAATTAGATGGCTATTGGAATGACCACTTTCGTTAGAAGATCTCTTAAAAATAGAGGTAAAACAGATCAATTCTGGAACCAATCGAATAATGATAAACGTGGTGACTGAACTATGACACTTGAAATAATATATACAGCAATCGGTGCTCTACTACTTGCTAATTTAATTTGTTCCAAAAATATTACCTTTGTTACTTCTTTTTCATGACCAAACCATTTCAGTACGCATTCACCGGTGTCTATATTGTTTAACGAAATAATCTGAAAATCATTTACAATTATAAAATTATAATTATTATAAACTTTTAGTAATTTCTTATACGTGGTACAATTCTTATATAATTTAATTGTCGTTGATTAAAAGAAATGCTCACTATTTTATTTCAAAGATCAAGCAAAAGCAACGTATTCATGTAAGTTATTTATTTAAAATTATAAAAAAAATATTTAAGTTTCAATCAAAGGATAGAATGTTTCAATGAGTCAGAATAGTTTATGATTCAGTGATGTTAAGGTTCTGCTTTGGCGCGAGTAAATCTCTCAAATGACCTGTTGGAAAAATTTTTGCAAGAAATTAGCTTGCTTTAAAAAAAAATCTACAATGGTTCATGAATGCATGTATTTAAAAATTTTATGTTTGATTTTACTCAATAATTTAATGGAATCAATTGGGGGGAGGATGGCTTAAGGGGTTATTCCTCAATTGTTATTGCCGATACTAAGGTTCTAGTTCCCACAGGAGTAAACCTGTCAAAAAGTCCGAGTACTTACAATTATAATGAAATTAAGAGAAAAATTCTTTAAAAAAATATCGGGCGAAAAAATCAACAATTTGCAAATATTTCCATTTGTTTAAAGTTTTAATGTAAAGGTGGCAATCCAAGAAAAGGTAAACACTAAGCTTAATATAATTGGAATTAACTTTATCACGTCCGCCACTTAGTATCATTCCAGGTCGAATTGAAGCTAAAGCCCCAATTGCATCACTGTGGACAGCAGGTCTCATTACTGGATACTTCACATAACTTCGAGTACTTGCCCTTAAACATATTCGCTACTTTTACAAATTTTATAGCAAATTTTTTTTGATTTTTTTAAGATTGTTAATTATTTAAATATTTTTTGATTTTTGGAATTCTATAGGCACTGCGAATTATAGGGTTTAAAGCTGATTAAAAATTTTGCAATTAATCAGAACAAAAATGGAGACATATATTAATGCGAACAATTTTTTTTACCGTATAATCTACTTAATTGCAAGTTATTAATGATTCTAAACAAATTTCCTTCCAAAAAAAGCTATAATCATTTTTGTGAGAGCCAAATGAATTTTAAAATAATTAGTAGCGTTTTGACGAATAAAATTAATATCGATTTCTTGGAAATGGCAACAGCAACAGCTTTTATTAAATGTGCATCTGAAATATAAAATTTTTCTAATTAATATTAATGTAGTGTGGTCCAGAGCCCAGAGATTCTCCGTGGAAATTCAAATTTCAAAGAATGAATAAGTTCCAGAGATGCCTTCTTCCTTGTAGAACAAATATATAAAGAAACAATTTTTCTGTCCCTTTTGTGGAAAATTGTCTCGATGGAAAATTTGCAAAAAAAAGCTGATTTAGTGGATAAAATATTGATAGCCACTCTTTCAGTTCATTTGTTTTAAAATTAATAATTAGCTTATTTAATTCATCGAAAAAAACTATGATATACATTTTATGTGTTGATATTTGATTGAATGATGCAAAGCTGTTCGTCGCTTTCGTTGATTTACTATAGGTTAAACCAGATGTTGTCGAAATTTCTGATGGTTCACATGTTGCCAGGTGGGTATAACTATTACCCATTTAATTGAAACCTGAAATTAGATGATTTATTCAGAATTCATATCATTTCAGAATCGGAGAATCGGAAAAAAACTGAACAAATAAACACAAAGCGAATTCGGTGAATTCGCTTTCAAAACAGTGGTTAATAATGTTCCATTATTTAAAATATGACCGATTTTTACTAACATTCATAAATTTTACCAACAGATAAACTAAAAGATCAAAAGATCGCAGTGGTGAATAGCTATTTTGACCATTTTTCAACAAAGCCAATAAAAATAAAAAAATTATATCAAAAAAAACTGGCCAATGGCAAAAATTCCTCCCCAATTTCTTATAATAACGGCGATAAATAAATTCTTTTAAATTGAGTGCTATAAATAAAACTTTTTGGTATCATTTGAGCAATTTTTTTAAAAAATTTCCCATATTTTCTCAGGTTAATCTTGTTAGATATAATTGGCATTTCCTTAGATTTTCTTCCATAAATTTTTCATTAAAAAAGTTAAAAAATATTTTTAAAAATACATTTTAGAACATTAAAAAAAGAAAAAATTCTATATGCAAAATAGTATTTATTTATTTTGTTTAGATGCAAAAATTTTCTTTCATTGAAATTAATTTAATTAATTTACTCACCAAGTAATTCAGTGAAACGAAATGACACAATTTGGTTTATTTAATTATTATGAAAATTTTTCAAATTTGCATTCGTCAAAAAAGGCGATAATTTAAAAACAAAAATTGCTTTTTTCATGAGATTAAGATCAAATAAGTAAAAAAAACTTTTATTTGATCAAATTGAACAATAGAATAGTTGTTTGGTTTAATCACCGATAGATAATAATTGATAAATTTTAAGTGATAAGGGAGGATTAAGAAAATTTGGTGATTGATAAAATAGTATAAATTTTGTAAATTATCATTGACGTAATTAATCATTACTATATACTATAAACTATATATCTTTTTATATAATAAGAATTTCTTAAATAAAGCACAGATTCAGTACAAATCCTTAATTTTTTATGCTATAAATATAAACAAACTAATTAGTTTGAAAATCGCTTTAAACAAAAAATAGAAATGGAAAATCAAATGGGTGCTCCATTTTATATCCATTAAATTCGCGAATTTTCTTTTCGCTGCCAACTCTTCTTCTAACAGCTCCACCACAGCTGGTTAGGCTGGCTTAACTGGCTACAAGGGTAGAGTCTCCAAGTTGTTCGGTCCGGCACCATCACCAGTAGTAATAAGAACCATTCCTTTTTCCATCATCTAAGTCCATATATCGCCGGTCTCCCTATATATTCAAAATCTTTCCTGATTGTCAATCTAGATCTTGACTGGTTGACCTCCTTGTTTTTGGCGCCAACCATTACAGGATTTAGCAAGTAATAAAATATGCGCCAATTCCTGTGGTGGACAACTGAGAAACAATAGTGATAATAATGTACTCTAACCAGCGAAGGCGACCCTCTATGATAACATTGTTAATATAGATGGTATTTGAGCGAAGATGGATACAATCATGTGCGATTTTATCCGCTCGACGGATCCGTAAAATATATCTTAGATATAAGATATAAGTGGTCAAAGGCTGATAGCTTCTTAATATCTTCCTTTCGCTGCCTTAGTCAGCAATCATAAGCCCAGTTATAATAGTGGTATAGTACTAATATTAACGCAATAATTTTTAATAATAATAATATAATAGCAATTATAACAATAGCGATAATTTAACTAATAATGATGGTAATAATAATAACAATAATGATAATAATAATAGATAACAATGGTACTAATAAAAATTATTAAAAATTTTTAAATTAAAAAATTTTAATAAAATTTAAAATTCCCAATTCCAGACGTTTTAATACAAAATGATGATTAAGTTAATGCATACTCTTTATACTTTAAGGTTTCTATAGCAACTAAAGTAATTTAACGAAAAAAATTTCCTTCTCGACATCGAATCATATGAGAATTAAATAAAAACCATTTTAAATATTCATTTATTTAATAATAAATACATTATTATTGAAAGCGTTATGTTGCCATTTTAGTTAATTTTACTAATATTTACTAATATCGAAGTACAAATATTATAAAGATATGAAATTATAAAATAATTGATAATTGATCGTCTTCAAATCGAAAAGAATAAAAGGAATGAAATTCTAAGGCTGAGAATTTAAAATTTTTTTTAAGTTATTTATCAATTGGGTAGTTATTTTTTGACAAATTTCTCATTATCAAATGAGATTTTATGAAGCAATTGTTTTCCCGGTAATTTTTCCCAGTAATTTTTTTAATAAAAGAAACCACTATATTTGCATTCATTCAATAGGGAATTTATTTAAAAAATATTTGAAAAAGAATAAATCCGATTAAATAAAAATTATGAATAAAATAAATTAAATAAAAAATAAATAAATAAATAAATAAATAAATTCCCTGAAATAAATTAAAAAATAGAAATTCTGAAATAGAAAAAATTTGTAAATTATAAATGGTTCCTTTTCTTTTTTTGTAGTTTCCACAAGCGGAACAAACAGTCAAATGCACTGCTTCTTTGGCAATGCATCCGATATCCAGAAGGCTAAGAATCGGTACAACCGTCTAAAAATATTAGATGATAAGATTCTTTTAAGATTCTTCAATGCTTTTGATAGTTCCACTCGATTTTATCCCAAAAATAACAAATTTTTTAAAAAGTAAATCCAATTTGCCAATAAGCCATAGGAATCTTGACTTATTATAGCAGTACCCACATACTGCCTAGCTAATACGCTGAATTATCCCCCTGGCTTATCACTGAAATAATCTGAGCAGTGCTTCATGCAAAAAGATTTCACTTGCACTTTTATTTTCAAGGTTTCTAGTCAAATCGCAGTAGCCAAAGCTAACCTAGACGGAAACTCGTGAATATTAATGATTTCAGTTCTTATGATTTCTTATGACCTAAGAGAAAATAATTTTTGTTTTGAACAAATTTCAAAAGTTCCAACAAATTCACAAGTTTTTTCGCATTTATTCGAAAAACTTTTAATAAAACTGTTACCGTTGAATTTTAATTATCCTACTTTTACCAAATGATTAAAATTCATTGGATTTTCTCAAATATATAAACCCGCTTTGAGTGGTTCTTTTTAACTTGTAATCTTTCAAGAACAGGAATACAACGAAGTAAAAATTTTGAAGGATTGCTTACTTGCTTACTTCGAATTATTACTAACCCAGCAGCTATGCTAATCTCTAAGCTAACTAAAAATTTTCTGAGATATTTTAATTAATCTGAAATTTTTTTCTTTATTAATCATTTGATATCTATCAACTTTCTATAATTAATAATTAATAATTCAAATCCATGATTTCCACTGAAATATGATATTTAAAACGTTCATAAATCAAGTTACGCCACAAAAGATTATTTCGGCTAATTGAAGTTTATGTAAAGTTTATGTAAAGTCATTTTATTTAATTTTATCGTCAATTTTAAAATTTCTCTTCTCTCCTGTGGATGATATGGATTGCCCCAGGATCTCTACCGGAGGCGTAGGAGATCGAAGTAAGGCTAAAAAGGATCTCGTTCAAGAAAAGACAGAGAGGATTAGCTGCGATTTGAACTGTTATCATTATCCATGCTGATCGCTCGTTTTTTATATATATGTATATATAATATAATATATAATATATATATATATATATATATATATATATATATATATATATATATATTATACGTGTATTTTGATTATATAAAAATTTTGATTAATTTTTCAAAATTTTTCTTCCATTTTTTTAATGGATGAATTTTTTCATTGATAAAAGGAATCTTTTTTAATAGATTTTTTGATAGACAAAACCGTTTTTTTCAGGATTTTGTTAAAATATGTATATCCGTTTTCGATGGTTCTTCTATAATCTTCTTAGCGAAATCTTATTTTCGTTTATTCTTTTCTCACTTCCATTAGTGTTTCCATTATCAATAAATGCTAAGCACTGCCTTGAATTTCATTAATCACTGATTCTGGTATACTTGGAAATCTGGATTATGATATTTCATTCTTTCTTTAAATTTTGTATTTTTTAAATTTTTCTAATAATCTTTCAAAGATTTGCTAGACTCTAGGTCCAATTCATTATTACCAATTTTTTAGGTACTCCACTCTAAAAATTCATCATCTCAGGAAGTATGATATCTCAGATCCACTCCCATGCCTAATGAACAAACGAAGAACGATGATACCAATTCTTTAAGAATTTTAACAAGTGCAAAATCAAAAAATACATGATTTTGTGAGATGTTTTTTATTTACTGGAGATACAGATTGATTCTTTTCACGTTTTTTGTACTAGTATATATTACTTGGTAGCTATTATTTTTGTAATGATTCATTTGCATTTCTATTTGCCCACGAAATGATATTAAATTTTGAAGTGGATTGTAAATGGAATTCACTTTTTCAATGACAGATCACCTTATTATGAGAAGGACAACAAGACATTCAAAATAAATAATACATCTTAAACTATATATTTAAGTATACTCTTGGTCCAAATTTTCCTTTTTATGCCATCTGTCTGAAACTTGAAGGCTTCAATGGAACTTAAGAAAATTTTTGATTAGGCTGATGGCTGCTTCGTTGTAATGTCCTAATTAAAAAGGCTTCTTTTTAAACATTTCTCTAAAGGTTTGTGGATGATAAAATTTTAAAGTAAAATTTTTTTCTCGAATCGTTTCTCTTTATATTTTAAAGTCTTTTACTCTTGTGACATCTTTTTCACTATTTATTATATTTAAATATATTTTTTCTTAATTTCTGTTTTTTGACAAAAAATTATCTTTAAAAACTTTATTTATGTATAATTATGGTGGGCTTTCGGCGCTTTCCTTCCCCGCACCCCCTTCCCCTCTCCCGCAAATTAATCTATAGAATCGATCGTTTTTTGTTAAAAATTATCGATGATTTAAAGATGATGATCGGTAGTTTTTTTTAAATTTTTAATGTAAA